GCAACCCGACGTCACCCCTTCACCGCCCCTTCCACCGCCGCCGTCGCCGTTGCCCGAGCAACCGTCGCCATCCCAGACATCACCCAAAGCACCGTCGCCCCTGACGCCATCAACCCTGCCACCTTCGCCATCCCCGCCGTCACCCCTGCCACCGTCACCATCCCCGCCGTCGGCCCTGCCACCGTCACCAAGCTCGCCATCGCCTTAGTACCCCGCCGTCTCCCCTTTCAACATCACCGTCACCGCCGTCGCCCCTGCAACCGCTGCCAACCCCAGCGCTGCCTGAGCCACCGTCACCAACCCTGCCGTCAACCGAGCCACCCGCCGTCGCCCCTTCTACCATCACCATCCCCGGCGCTGTCCCTGCCGCCGTCGCCATATGCATCCCCACCGTTGCCCGAGCAACCGTCGCCATCCCCGCCATCACCTCTGCAACCTTCGCCATCCCCGCCGTAACCCTAAACACCGTCACCATCCCCGCCGTCGGCCCTGCCACCGTCACCAACCTCGCCGTCGCCCTAGCCATCGGAACCGCTGCCGCACTCACCCCTGCCACCGTCGCCATACCCGCAGTCACCCCTGCCACCGTCACCAACCCCGCCGTCGACCCTGCCTCCTTCGCCCCTGCCACCGCTGCCAACCCCACCGGTGCCTGAGCCATCGTCACCAACCCTGCCGTCACCCTAGCCACCCGACGTTGCTCCTTCTACCATCACCATCCCCGGCGCCGGCCCTGCCGCCGTAGCCGTATGCATCTCCGCCGTTGCCCGAGCTGCCGTCACCATCCCCGCCGCCACCCTAAACACCGTCACCGCTGCCGCCATCACCTCGGCCACCTTCGCCATCCCCGCCATCACCCAAACCACCGTCGCCCCTGCCGCCATCACAACTGCCACCGTCTCCCCCGCCACAGTCGCCAACCCCACCGTCACCAGAGCCACCGTCACGAACCCCGCCGTCGTCCCATCCACCGTCGCAATCCCCGCCGTCGCCCCTGACACCGTCACCAACCCTGCCGTCACCCTAGCCACCCGCCGTTGCTCCTTCTACCATCACCATCCCCGGCGCCGTCCCTGCCGCCATCGGCATATGCATCCCCGCCGTTGCCCGAGCTACCGTCGCCATATGCATCCCTGCCGTCACCGCTGCCGCCACAACCTCTGCCACCGTCGCCATCACCCAAAGTACGGTCGCCCCTGCCACCATCGCCAACCCAACCGTCACCCAAGCCACCGTCACGAAAAACGCCATCACCCCATCCACCGTCGCCATACCCGCTTCCACCGTCGTCATCCCTGCCGTCTCCCCTGCCACCGTCACCAACCCCGCCATCGCCCTAGCCACCCGCCGTCGCCCCTTCACCGCCCCTTCCACCGCCGCCGTCGCCGTTGCCCGAGCAACCGTCGCCATCCCAGCCATCACCCAAAGCACCGTCGCCCCTGACGCCATCACCCCTGCCACCGTCGCCATCTCCGCCGTCACCCCTGCCACCGTCACTATCCCCGCCGTCGGCCCTGCCACCGTCACCATCCCCGCCTTCGCCCCTGCCACCGTCACCAACCCCGCCATCGCCCTAGCCACCCGCCGTCGCCCCTTCCAACATCACCGTCGCCGCCATCGCCCCTGCCGCCGTCGCCCCTGCCACCGTCACCCGAGCCACCATCACCGCCATCCCCGTCACCTCCCCACTACCGTCACCTAACCCTCGCTTGATCTCTCTACGCCCCACCCCCCTCTCCTGTCTTCCTCGCTCCTTCATTGTGCGTTCACGTAATCCGATGATGCAAAGGAGGATAGACATTTCTATATATATCCCTTATGGACTACGGTCTCACCTGTTAGGTTGTCGGGGCTCCACTGCATTTATTTGGCCCTTCGGCGGACTCCACTCCATGTCCACCGCCACTGGAGACGGGGCGCCTACACTGACAGGGGGGACATAGCTTCTAGTCGCTGATGCTCTACATGTGACGCGTCTGCTAGTTTCGTTTATTGTACCTGTTTGATCCAGTTGGTTAGCTTGAGCCAACCAACTACCGAAGGGCCCGCCGCAACTGGAGCTTGTTGCTTCTGAGGAGATGCATCTGCATCATATTGGATGTCGCATAGTACCTGGCATAGTGTTGCAGCAATGTCTCACTACCTCCAGCGAGCCGCAGCCTCTTTTCCATTATGGACGCACTGCTGCCTGAACAGTCGGCCGTCGCAGCGGTAACTGGAGGGGCCATCTTTATTAGA